GGGATGCCGTGTGGGCCACCAACCTTGCGATCTGCCTATCTAGGTCAGAGTATGATGAGTTAACTAAAAAGTATACCTTTCTGTATTTAGAAACCATCTGTGCAGGAGGACATCACACTGTCTAAGTAACGTCACACGTGAATGCTGGATGAGAGAGTATACACAAATACGTTATGCCTCCGTTCAAACTCAATCTCGGACCATTAGTGAGGGGGAAATACATCACCTACCTCGATTTGTTGACTTTCACCCTGCACGAGAGAGATAAGTGTAATGAAGTATTCAGAAACACTGTGTCTGTTGGAGTGTATTGTCTGTCTGAAGGACTGTGTATGTTGTTGGATGCAGACCTTAAACAAATCTCCTTTCTCGCTAATCAGCATTGTGTCTGCGTTGTGATAGTGTTGTTTACAGTGTTTGTAACTCTTGTTTATCTTAATGACTTCCTACGGCATTATGGCTCCGCGTTCCACTCTGCCATGACTGGTTCACATGACCACTATGGGTTGGCTAGGTTACCACAGAGCCTCAGAGTCATGATGTTCTTGTTTTCTGAAGAGTCAATGAACTGACATTAATCTATGCTCTGTTTCTTTGAAAGAGGATGAGTTTCCATGGGTAGGAATAGTTGTTTAAGACTCAGCACTCTGGACTCCATCGTCCAAATCCTAGTAAAGCTGTTTATTGTTTGTTTCCCTTAAACTGTGTCTTATTTATGTAGATTTCTCCAAAACTGTTTTTTTTTTTACTACAACACTTTTATTTCTCTCAGTATATTCTAGTAGTAGGCTCGGCCCAGATAGACTGGAAATGGTCCCTTACTTTTGTATCACACCAAACCTGAAGTAACTCATCTAGATATTCTTTCAAATTCTTGTCTGTTTCTCCTCGTCTGTTTGTGTATTTGTTTCTCAGTTCACCTTTGTATTTGAGGTTGTCTAACCAGTAGCCTTGTGTCATGTTCCAGTTGTGCTCTAAGACCCCATTGACATTATATAAGAACAGGCCTATGGAAAGTGCCAGTAGGAAGTCTAGGTGGACCTATTGGATGATGGGAGTGACAAGAGGACTGAGACGGTCTTTGTGTGCCCCCAGCCCCCCTACACCTCCTGTCCCCTCCTGACCTCCCTGTCAGCGCCATGGTCTGGGGAGTCAGGACCGAGACGATTAAAGGCCATGACCTCTTTATCCCCCATGCCCTCTGTAGACCCCCTACCCCATTAACTTTCACTCAGCTTGACTACCCCTAGGTGATCCAGACTAACACTGGTCTCCTACTGTTGACCAGTGACCACACACACACACACAGTCAGACATATTTTCCTGGGAATTTCATTAGGTCTTATGTTGATGTACCTTATTCAGTAGGTGGCAACAAAGTTTATTTTACCTGCTAGATTCAGGTTAGATTCAGGTTAGATTCAGGTTAGATTCAGGTTAGATCAGAAACAGGGCCGTATCAGACCCAGTATCAGACCATTATAAAGGTTCATAAAAAGACCAGAGGATCCCTAACACGACAACAGGACCAGGACTTAGAACCCAAAGAGTAGTGAGCCATGGAACTTTGGATCCAACCATTCGCTCACTGTACTGCCAATGGTGCCTCAGAGGGCCAAAAAGCACAGAAACCACATTTAGGACATGGCAGAGGATTGCACTGAAATAAATACTTTCAGAGTTTCTTTTTTTCTAAGTAAATATTTTCACTACAGGGAAACCTCAGTTTGGCAAACACACAAATGGTTCCATACAGGATTTTCCGAATGTCTGTGCATTTTTGTTGAAATACCCAAACCTGATACTGTAGGTTTAGGGGCCAGGCCACCTTTTGTTTCATGTTTCACAATCCTCCCCAGTCCCCCCACCACCCCAACCCCCTATTTCAAGTCTGTCGTCAAACAGCCAGCAAACCATTTCCTGCAGCTCCGAGGTCACTGGATAAATTATGTTTTCGTTTGTCAACCCCTGGTCCCCGAAGGACCCTGTTAGAGCAGGTTCTTCTGAGGGAGTCTACAGAGATTACAGTACTGATGAAGCATGAGAAATTACAGGCACTTAGGAGTGATTTTATGAGCACAAGAGAACTGAGGGACCACCCCTACGAGGGTCCTACTAGCGTACACAATCACACGTTGCCTTTCATGTTCATGTATTACAATCAGACACACACACAATCATACACAACAAGGAAAAATCACGCATTCATACGAATACACAAAACCAACATAGACTTAGTACACATTGCACATACTAAAACACACACACACATTCCTAGATGGTAAATTACTGGCAGTTAAACAGTGAATTCAGTGTTATGTATTATCACAGCAGCCATATGTTGGTTGAGTCCTTCAGCTGGGGTTTGTAGATGGAGGTTGTTTGAAGTCTGGGGGTCCCAGGTCTCTCCCTGCCCTGGGCAGGACACTGAGTGCTGGGGATAGCTCTGGTCATCAGCCCCAGACATCCGCCTGCTTGGCCTTCTGTAAAATAGGAGCTATGCAGAGCTGGTTTGTAGCAGAGACCCAACAATGATATTTTCCCTGAGCCGCAAAAGTAGAATCATGTTCATCATAATCTACCCCTCTGTATTGTCCTGCCAGAGCGCAGTATGTGTGTGTATATGTGTGTGTGTATGTGTGTGTGCTTGAATGTGTGTGTGTATGTGTGTGTGTGTGTGTGTGTGTGTGTGTGTGTATCTGTGTGTGTGTATGTGTGTGTGTATGTGTTTGTGTATGTGTGTGCGTGTATGTGTGTGTGTATCTGTGTGTGTGTATGTGTGTATGTGTGTGTTTATGTGTGTGTGTATCTGTGTGTGTGTATGTGTGTGTTTATGTGTATGTGTGTGTGTGTGTGTATGTGTGTGTGTGTGTGTGTGTGTGTGTGTGTATCTGTGTGTTTATGTGTGTGTATGTGTCTGTGCATGTATCTGTGTGTGTGTAAGTGTGTATGTGTATGTGTGTGTGTATGATTTCTACTACACTAACTTGGAGCATCACAGTGCCCTTGTTATGGTGGTGAGTTTCTAGAAAGAGATGAAGTTGGCTCCAGTGTGGAGCTGAAATGTCTGACTAAATCCATACTCCGTCCACATCTTCTTTTCCCATAGTAGCCTAGGAGCCTTGGCCTCATTCTGCTCCACAAAGCTTGTGATAGTCATCAGAGTGTCTACGGTTTCACTGCTTTCTCTGCCAAAGGGATTATCATCTCTGAGAAGCGCTCTGTGGTCTTTTTTAGTTTAAAATCTCATGAGATTGTCTTAAACAGAGGCTGTGTGTTAGTGTGTGTATGTGTGTGGTGCGCGGCTGTCTGTCTCTGTGGGCCTGTATGCGTGCCGGCCACACTAGTGACTGTTTCTCCTTCACAAACTCTCTCCAAAAGTGTCACTGAGCTCTGAGGTCAGTAGCAGGATGCACTGTACATGCTCACATACCCACTGACATTAATATTTTGTAATTATACGTCTAACATAATACATTCCATAGCAATTGTGGCTCTGACAATATATTATATATATATGTCTGTCCCTGCTGCATTTGTGCTCAACTAGCAGTCCTGTGGTTGTTAGTCTGGCCGTTGCTCCAGAGCAGTCTGCAATGGTTCACACTGGACTAGCAAACTTCCCACACCAGCGTAGTGAATTTGAGGGGCAGGCGAGTCATGCTAACCCTGGCCAGGGATCAAAGCTGGGTCTCTGGCGCAAAAGTCTTGCCATTCTACCACTCCTGCAGGGTCATGGATGTCTGTCTCCACTCTTCATTCAGCTGCATATATACGTAACGCACAGATCAAAGCTCCATGATCATTACTGTGTTAGAAAACAAACGGACACAGCCCACCAGAGGGTGGCTTTTCTGTGTGTCGCACTTGGTTTGTGCGTGCATGTGTCTGTGTGTATATCTAGAACAAAGTCTGAGTGTTTATATTTGTTTCAGGCTTATTCCTCCTGAGTGACTAGTACAGAGAAAATGAAGGAGTGCCTTGGCTTCATTAAAAACCCATCTACTCCCATTCAGACCTTATTCATGACTGTGTTGACCCCCAGAGCATAGCACTAGTAGTCCCTACTGACCGGCTTTATTAGTAGGAGTTTACAGGCCTATCCATGACATTCCCACAGCTCTCTGGGAGCTCCTCCACATTATTCCAGGGCAACAGCAGGTTAATGTAAGCCAGGTGGAGCCTCCTCTACACTTCCTCTGAACAAGTTTGTTTGATTGACAGGGAGTTGAGGTGGTGAATCGGAGCGTTGCTGCTCAGGATCAGGTCGTGATGGAAACATGGCGATTCACAAGGAACAACTGTTTGACTTGGCCACAACAGAGGACTTTTCCACTCACCTGTGACCATTCTTAATTACAATGTGTGGATGTGTGTGTGATTGGGTCTGTGTCTGTGTGTTTCAGTGCATGTAGAACTCCTCCTCGTCTCTTACATGTGGAAAGTATACTGTAAGTGTGGTTAAAACTGTGTTAACCTACATCTTAAAACACATGAAAACTAAACGATTGCAGACACTAATGTGACATAAGTTCTACATTGTACCTGTGTAGACACTACAGATGTAGGATCTTAATTTGAGACAGTTTAACAACAGGTAAAGTTAATTATTATGTGGATTATAATCAATGGACATCTTTGTAGGGGTTGATACATTTTTTGTAAGGGAAAATCAAGTCTGGAATTTCAAAGTGGAAATTACAAACTACAGAAGTATTTTTAAACCTCAAATACACTACAAGTTTTACATTTCCTGCATTGCATTCTCCGGCAACAGGGTGATCAAATTAAGATCCTACACCTGTACCTTTGAGAACTTTTGACAGCGGGCATATAACAACATTTACCTACATTCAAATACGTTCCTCCAAATAATTCACTCTGTCAGTCCCATTCATCCTGATGCATTATGTCCATGGGAAAATGTTCTTATATGTCAGTAATTGTTTATGTCAAGGATCATGTTATGCTTACATGGACTAATGTAAACTCTATAAACACTATATATCCTCCTTTCTGCCGATACACTGCTGTCTGACACCCTCCATCTATCTATGTGATGTTAACTAGCCCACAGAAGAACATGACACCCAGGGTGACACAGGGATTACTTGTTCTATATTTAGTGTTTATGTACATGAATATTGGCAGGGCAACTCTGTACATGTGACACACACAGTGATACAGTGATAACACAGACCTCCAGCACAGAACACATTTACAGACGGGCTCTAGAGTGCACACTGGCTGAGAGGGAATGTCTCCACAATGACAATTTCCGCATAGATTTTGAATTTCCTCATAACAGTAATAGTCATCATCACCAATAAATCAAACAATCAAACCAAAAGAGGCACTGAGAGAACTATACAAGGCTGGTAGCTATTGTTTCTCTGCAGGTCAACGTGAATTGAAACTGAAGGAACAACCCATTTTGACAGACGAACGCAAGAGTCATGCAGCAACAAAGAAACACACAAGATGAAACAGTCTCTTTTCTGAAGCTCTGAAGTGTCCCCGTTGGCAACGAGATGCTAGGTCCCCAAGCACAGGCGACAGAGCACCTCGCTATGGATCGCCCCAAAAACGTGCCAACAATGAAATGTAAACATAAATATACAGGTTGATATCTCTCTCTACAAACAGTTCAGTCTCTGCCACAGGCCCATCAGCTGTGTGAGTAGTCGGTCTGTATACACTCCTTAGTAGAATATCACTTAGAGTTAAATAAAACTTTTTTAATATATATATTTATAATAGATTTATTCTGTGCAGTCTTTTAGCAGTATTTCCTTGTTTTCACCAGTTTGCTCTGGTATTTTACTGAGTGACCACTGTGGCCCACAACATAAACGTCCAGCAGGTAGGCCTTGCCCGGCTCCAGCCCTGTGATGGTTTCCGTGGTAACGGCCTTCTGCAGGTTGGGGCTGTGGAAGTACTTGCAGAGGACCTTCTCTGACTTCCTGCGCGTCTCGGGCCCGGCACACTGGTTCTGCTCGCGCCGCCGCTGCTCCTCGCCATAGCTCTCTGCCACCTCTTTTCTGTAGACGCAGTACTTGTTGCGGTGCTGCGTTCCCAGCCAGGCCACAGTGGCAGAGGAGCAGGTACGCAGCTTGTCGAAAGCCTTGATGCGCGTGTCCTCGGGAAGCGAGGGGAAGGGCTGCTTGCTGCTGGGCTTTGTGGTGGCCAGCACCTTCAGGGTGGACGCTCCCTTCCTGCTGCCTCGCAGACGGATCAGGTACTTGGCCTTGGGCTTCCCTCGCAGCTGGAACTGCCGTACCCCTTCCACATTCTGGGAGAGCAGCAACTTTCCATCACGCCTCACCTGCACCTGGACAGAGTCCAGACAAGCGTGCACGAACAGAGTGAACCTCTGGTGGGAGGAGACCGGGGCGAAGCGTAGGAACTTACTGCCCTTCCTCTTGATGAAGACATCAGACACTTTGCCGTCCTTCAGCTCCAACGTCTTCTGCCGAGCTTCCTCCTTGGTGCGGGCGAACGTGCCCACGTAGGCGGTGCTGGTGTTGGTGGCAGAGTTCACAGCGAACACGTCAAAGTAGTACTGAGTGTCCGGCTTCAGGTCCGACACGGTGAAGATGTTCTTGTTGCCGATGCAGACTTTTTGAATGTCCGAGGCCTTGGGCTTGGCTGTGTAGGAGCGGGAGATCTTGTTGCTGGTGAGACCTCTGTCCTTGTTAAAGTCATTGTTTGAGCGGACAAAGCCAAAGTGGGCAAAGTCAAAGGGGCTGAAGTCCCGGCCTGGCTTTGGAACTGCCATGAAGGCATCGTCAGCACTGATCTTAGCCTCGGCAGCACACAGGCTTTTGAAGTTGTGCTCCTTGTTTATGACAACACAGTACTGGACAGGCTGGCCCATCAGAACGCCTGTGGGGGTGGGCTTCCAGGCCAGAGTGACAGTGGTATGGCCCAGCGCGGTGACATCCACCCGGGGATCGTAGGGTAGCTCGGGGTAGGGCTGGTCAGACTCTGGGGTGGTGGTGGCATACACCTTGAAGTTGCTGTCCTTCTCTGTGGAGAGCATCTCCAGTTGGTAGAGGCCGGAGGGAGAGCTGGTAGCCACGTAAGACTCCACATCGTTCCCCTTGTAGGAGAAGAGCTCTGTGCCCTCATCCACTGTCACCTGCTTCTGCTGGTCCAGGGGCTCCGGCTTACCTGGAAAACACACAGAGACACAGGAAGAATTAACATGACTTATTTTCATATCACAGCAACCACATCATCTCCTGAGATATCTTTGCTAACCTCCCCTAATGCTTTTGTTTTTTATGTTTGGCCCTGAAGTAAAATCATTTCCATAGGTGGCAAAATATTTCCCATTTAATGTGTTGATCCTGGTGAGGTCATGGTGAAGCTCTCTCCGAGCCTCACAGACAATTAGCCCCTCACAAGCCAGCAGCCATGCTTTCACTCTAAACATCTCTAAACATCCCAAAAGATCACAGGCTGATATTCACTTGGCCCTTCCTGGGAAGCTGTGCTACAAAGAGGCGCCTTTTAGCCTCTCCTTGAGGGAGTCAGTCCCAGGCCTTTTTTCAGTTGTGCTTAGAACCATAATATTATGTTTGTCATCCAGAGAGTGGGCTCAACAGTGTTCTAGATTAATGCTAAAAGATCCAATCTGAGGCTGAGACATTCAGCAAACAGAGGAGTAAGATGAATAGACAGAGAGGTTATGCATTTGTGTATTTACAGTGTTCACTGGAAACTAGTGCACACACATCGCCTTCTGCCTATATGTGAATGGCTCCTTGGTCTATGTTAAGATGCCATGTGTAGCACTTACAGTATTGGAGTTTTACTGTGTTACAGTATTTAGTCTCTATTCTGTAATATATTAGGACAGTGAACATCAAAAAAGCAGGTGGTATCAGGCAAGGAGCCCATTTATTCACTGGCAGAGATACATGTGCATACATATAGTCATACACGTGCACACATGTACTTTCACACCCTCACATATGCACACTCTAAAACCACCGCTGCAGTCCATGTCTGTGCTCTAATGGGACTGGGCTTGAGGGAGTTGATAGATTTTTTGTGTTTCAAAGATACTGTCCAGATGGAGAGAGAGAAACTGAGTGTGTGTGAATGAGAGAGAGAGAGAGAGAGAGAGAGAGAGAGAGAGGGAGAGAGAGAGAGAGAGAGAGAGAGAGAGAGAGAGAGAGAGAGAGAGAGAGAGAGAGAGAGGTATTCCATTTGAAGGACAAAGGGAGTATATGTTAGTAGTGGACAAGGGGATTATTGTACCTAGCTATCTAAAGATGTTTATGGGGGATTAATGAGGAGGGCTTAATCACATTCTAAACTCTTTACTTATACACTGTATTTGTCTGCCAGCCAACCAGCCAACCAGCCAACCAGCCAACCAGCCAGTCAAGGGCAGTCTGTTCTACTCAGAGCTCTGTGCCCTTTTCACAGACTACAGACATCAGGTGTGGTGAATCCAGACATCAATGTGGCCAGTTCAGACACTGTGTGTCACGCTCTGGCTCCGGGACTGTGTATTTTGAGCCAGGGTGTGTTCATTTGGTTGTGTTTGGTATTGGTTGTGTTGTATTTGGTTGTGTTTCCTTGTTTGGTCGTGTGACTCCCAATCAGTGGTAACGAGTGTCAGCTGTCGGCTCGTTATCTCTGATTGGGAGCCATATTTAAACTGTCAGTGTTCACCTTAGTGTTGTGGGTTTTTGTTCCTTGTCAGTCATTGTAACTGAGGACTTCACGATTCGTCATTGTTTGTTGTTTTTTGTAGTGAGTACTTTAATTTAATAAAGTCATGTTCGCTCAACGCGCTGCGCTTTGGTCTCCCTCATTAGACGATCGTGACAGAAAAACCCACCTTAACCAGATCAAGCAGCATGAAGAAGAGAGAGGATGGACTTGGGAGCAGTTGAGTAGGAGTCTCGACTGGGCCAAGCCAAGAGAAGAGGAGAGAGGTTGGACTTTGGAGCAGTGGGGTGATAGTCTGGCGAGAACGATGGAGGCCTGGTCCACGAAGAGGAGAGAACCCCAGAAAATTTTTAGGGGGGGGCTCACGACGTCGGACCAGCAGGAGGCCGCGATAGAGCGGTCCAGTGGGTTGCCGGAGGAGGCCGTCGGGTTACGGGGGCCACTGGTCGAAGAGGGGATGGAGGAAGTAGAGGCACGGCGAGAGGTACTGGCGTGTGTTGCCAGTCCGGTCCGGCCCGTTCCAGATCCCGGTGTAGGGCCAGTGGTGTGTGTCCCCAGTACAGTCCGGCCCATCCAAGCTCCCCGCACCAAGCCAGTGGTGTGCGTCGTCAGCCCTGTCCGGCCCGTTCCTGCTCTCCGCGCCAAGTCTGTGGTGCGCGTCGCCAGCCCTGTCAGACTCGTGCCTGCTCTCCGCACCAAGTCTATGGTGCGTTTCGTCAGCCCTGTCCGGCCCGTTCCTGCTCTCCGCACCAGGTCTGTGGTGCGCGTCGCCAGCCCAGTCCGGCCCATCCAAGCTCCCCGCACCAGGTCAGTGGTGCGCGTCGCCAGCCCTGTCCGGCCCGTGCCTGCTCTCCGCACCAAGTCTATGGTGCGTTTCGTCAGCCCTGTCCGGCCTGTTCCTGCCACTCGCACCAAACCAGGGGTGCGAGTCGCCAGCCTGGTCCAGCCCGTTCCTGCTACTCGCACCAAGCCAAGGGTGCGAGTCGTCAGCCGGATTCTGCCTGTTCCTGCCACTCGCACCAAGTCAAGGGTGCGAGTCGTCAGCCGGATTCAGCCCATTCCTGCTACTCGCACCAAGCCAAGGGTGCGAGTCGTCAGCCGGATTCAGCCCATTCCTGCTACTCGCACCAAGCCAAGGGTGCGAGTCGTCAGCCGGATTCAGCCCATTCCTGCTACTCGTACCAAGCCAGGGATGCGAGTCTTCAGCCTGGTGAGGCCTGTTCCGGCTCCACGCACCATGCAAAGGGTGCGTATCGTCTGCCAGGTCCGGTCCATTCCTGCCTCACGCGCCAAGCCAGGGGTGCGCGTCGGCAGTCCTGATCCAGCTAACTGGGTCAGATCGGACTGGGGGCACTACGGGGGGATTGTAGTAGGGTGGTGGTCAAGCCCGGAGCCGGAGCCGCCTCCGAGGAGCAATACCCACCCAGCCCTTCCCTATTTGGGGTGTAGGCGCGGTCGGAGTCCGCGCCTTTAGGGGGGGGTACTGTCACGCTCTGGCTCCGGGACTGTGTATTTTGAGCCAGGGTGTGTTCATTTGGTTGTGTTTGGTATTGGTTGTGTTGTATTTGGTTGTGTTTCCTTGTTTAGTCGTGTGACTCCCAATCAGTGGTAACGAGTGTCAGCTGTCGGCTTGTTATCTCTGATTGGGAGCCATATTTAAACTGTCAGTGTTCACCTTAGTGTTGTGGGTTTTTGTTCCTTGTCAGTCATTGTAACTGAGGACTTCACGATTCGTCATTGTTTGTTGTTTTTTGTAGTGAGTACTTTAATTTAATAAAGTCATGTTCGCTCAACGCGCTGCGCTTTGGTCTCCCTCATTAGACGATCGTGACACTGTGTCACTAGTTAAGTAACAACCATGTTAGTTACTGCTCATCCTGATGAATTTCTGAAATGATTGTTTATGTACTTGTTGTACATCAATCATATATTGCACGTTTTACAACTTAATTACATTGTAATAGTCCCATTTACATTAGCTAATAGTTCCATAAATCATATTTATGTAAATTCCCATATACACTACATGACCAAAAGTATGTGGACACCTGCTCGTCGAACATCTCATTCCAAAATCATGGGCATTAATATGGAGTTGGTCCCCCATTTGCTGCTATAACAGCCTCCACTCCTCTGGGAAGGCTTTCTACTAGATGTTGGAACATTGCTGCTGGGACTTGTTTCCATTCAGCCACAAGAGCATTAGTGAGCTCGGGCACTGATGGGTTAGAGGTGTTCGATGGGGTAGAGGTCAGGGCTCTGTGCAGGCCAGTCAAGTTCTTCCACACCGATCTCGACAAACCATTTCTGTATGGACCTCGCTTTGTGCACGGGGGCATTGTCATACTGAAACAGGAAAGGGCCTTCCCCAAACTGTTGCCACAAAGTTTGAAGCACAGAATAGTCTAGAATGTAATTGTATGCTGTAGCTTTAAGATTTCCCTTCACTGGAACTAAGGGGCCTAGCCCGAACCATGAAAAACTACCCCAGACCATTATTCCTCCTCCACCAAACTTTACAGTTGGCACTATGCATTGGGGCAGGTAGCGTTCTCCTGGCACCTGCCAAACCCAGATTAGTTCGTCGGACTGCCAGATGGTGAAGCGTGGTTCATCACTCCAGAGAACGCGTTTCCATTGCTCCAGAGTCCAATGGCGGTGAGCTTTACACCACTCCAGCTTGGCATTGCGCATGGTGATCTTAGTCTTGTTTGCGGCTGCTCAGCCATGTAAACCCATTTCATGAAGCTCCCGACTAACAGTTATTGGGTTGACGTTGCTTCCAGAGGCAGTTTGGAACTCGGTAGTGAGTGTTGCAACCGAGGACAGACGATTTTTCAGCACTCGGCAGTCCCGTTCTGTAAGCTTGTGTGGCCTACCACTTCGCGGCTGAGCCGTTTTTGCTCCTAGATGTTTCCACTTCACAATAACAGCACTTACAGTTGACCGGGGCAGCTCTAGCATGGCAGAGATTTGACGAACTGACTTGTTGGAAAGGTGGCATTGTATGACGGTGTCATGTTGAAAGTCACTGAGCTCTTCAGTAAGGCCATTCTACTGCCAATGTTTGTCAATGGAGATTGCATGGCTGTGTGCTCGATTTTATACACCAGTCAATAACAGGTGTGACTGAAATAGCCGAATGCACTAATTTGAAGGGGTGTCCACATACTTTTGTATATAGTGTAATTGGTGTTTACCTGATCCCTCGCCGCTGGCCTCCTCAGGCAGCTCCTGCAGAGTAAGCTTCCACTCCAGAGGAGCATCACATGGTGTCACCGTCACAGACAGTGGGGTGTTGTCCTCCTCCACCACAAAGTAGTACCTGCAGGAACAAGAAGTAGTACCCAGGTAAATGACAGGGTTAACTACTGAAATCATCCTACACACTGAGTCTATGGTCACTCTATGGTTGTCTCCGAGTGGTCTTTCAGCAGACATTACCTCAATCACATGAACATCTCTATCTAATCTATAATGCAATTCCTCATCCTAGTATCCATTACAATGCATTCCATATTCCCCATGGATTCATTTACAGTAAGTCATCATACAGTGCTATTTAGTGTGAGAAGGCTTCAACGCTGTTTGTTTTCGATCATACACAGCCTCGTCTCATGCATTTGCTAAGACAAGACATACAGTACATGTACATGTTTGGGGCAGTAGACCTACATGTTGGTAATGGTTGTTGATAGTGATGGCTGTATTTATAGCAGTTTAGCGTTTTTTGTCATGAATCTTGTTCTGGAGGCAGCTCTGCGGAGTGGTCACTAGCTAGCACAGCCACAAGTCATACAATCTGATTTTAAACCTAACCCTAACCTTAAACCTAACTTTAACCACACTGCTAACCCTAATGCCTAACCATAACCTTAAATGAAGACCAAAAAGCTTTGTTGAATTTTTACAATATAGCCAATTTTGACTTTGTAGCTGGCCTATCTACAGGGAAATCGCTCAGTTCTGCCTCCAGGACAAGACTTATGACAATAAACGTCAACCTGCGTATCGCTATAGACCTGGACTCGTTACCTTTTAGGTGTGTCCCTGAACAGGTATCCACTGATCTCGGCGCCGTCTGGGATGACGGAGGAATCATGGAACAGGGTCTTGTCTCTGATCTGCATCTGGAACAGGCCCTCATCACGCGTGGGCAGCTTCTGGCCCACTACAACCCCCAGCATTAGAGCCAGGGCCAGAGGCCAGCCCTGAGGTCCCAAGCACAGCCTCATCTTCCTGTAACACACAAAATAGTAATGCAGGACTGTCAGAACAGTTAGAAACGCCAAAGTACACTCTTAGAAAGAAAGGTTCCAAAAGGGTTCTTTGGCTGTCCCCATAGCAGAACCCTTTTTGGTTCCAGGTATAACTCTTTTGAGTTCCATGTAGAAGCCTCTGTGTAAATGGTTCTACATGGAACACAAAAGGGTTCTACCTGGAACCAAAAGGGTTCTACCTGGAACAGAAAAGGGTTATCCTATGGGGACAGTGAATATTGGAAATATTTCAATCAATACTTGGAAGAAGAACTTGAAAATGTTCTTCCAATTTTGCCTGTTAAGTCTCAGAATGGAAGGGAAACCAGTAAGACGCTGCCAAAGAGAGGAAAGTGAGAGACAGAGATGGAGAGATAGATGCCCAATCTCTTGGAAAAAAAGAGAAAGTGGAAGGCAGACAAAAAGAGAGAAGACAATGTGGACCAGAAAGAGGGAGAAGAGCAAGAGAAAGACAGTGGCTAGTTTAAGAAGGCTTCCCCAAAGTCAGAGAAACTAGATTTAAGGGGATAGAAGAGGAGGAGACATTGGCACCAGTAGCTACAGTGTACTGTTCAGTAGATATCCCCACAGCTATGGGATGTGGCTCAGTACACGGGTCTATGCAGCTTACTGAGGCTCAGGAACACTCAGATATCCTCTGTCTATTGATTTGACCACATTGATTGCAGCTGATGGGAAAGCCAAATCCCTGCTGATTTAATCAGGGTAATGATGGCAGATTAGCCAGATACTTTACTGCCATTTACTGCAAGTGAGAGTGTGTCCTTTTAATGACCCCTCTTCCCTCTCTCTCTCCCTCTTCCTTGCCCTCCTTTTCTCTCTCCCTCTTTCTTTTCCACCCTAGCTCTCCATGTATTTCTTTCCCACAAATATAGCTAATCTTATTTTTCTTCTCTCGCACACACATATACAGTAATCTCTATCCCTCCCTCGTTCTGTCCTTGTCAAACAGACATTCTCTCCTCCCTCCCCTCCCTCCCTCTGGAGAGACATAAGTCAAACCAGAGAATCCAAAGCTGGTCATACTTCCATGCTACAAACATGGCTTCATTACTACATTATCTTCCTTTTCAAACACAATCCAGAGAAAAGCCCTTGACAGCTCCTGTCAGTGTGTCCATCTCCCCTCGTGTCTGAGCTGAGCCTCCCGTCATCCTGTCAGACTTCAGAGAGGCGGAGGAAAGCCTTCTAAGTGGTACTTTGAGGTTTGACTCACAGAGAGGAGATCCTAATCTCCTCAGCTTGTCTCATTCCATTTCAGAAGTGCGTCGGGCGGAACAAAGAAATGTCTATTAATACTCGAGACAGCGCTGAGGTGGTATGTACAGAGCTCTACAGAGGCTCCCAGAAGCCTCTCCCAGTCCCTGCTGCACCAAGCCCACGCAATGACACTAACAGACTGATGTCATCCGATATGGGATATGTGCTTTCTCAATGGTTAGTGTGGTATCGTTCATCAGATTTGCTTGCGAACGTAGTTATCATAACCCAACATGCACTTGATGTGCTGTTTCCAATGTAAGCAACTTGCCCACCGCGTGTGGTAATACTGATTCAAACCAATGGCTTTGGTTTGAGTTGGTCAAAGTGCTGCAGTATCCCAAGTCTGAGAAGTGTTACCACTAAATGCTACGTTCCTTCATCCAGACTCAGATCCCATGTATGAGCCATCACTGAAAGATGACACCTGCAAATTAATATAGTTAGATTTGACTGTGCTAATGTCTGGGCCTTGTGGTTGTGTGGAGCAGCACAGACAATATGCATGGGAATACAGGCTGGAATCTGGAATGGTTGTGCATGCATGAGACTGCTCAGGCCATGGAGTTATCTCTCTTTACCAAAATAAAACTTCAAAAAAGCTGCATCTGGAACAAATAAAGCCTAATGTTTAATTAGAGTAAGGGAGAATGTATGATGGTAATGTGGGGGAGGATAATTTGAAGGCGGAGCCGGCCACAATCGTGTCAACTTTGTTTTGCTGCCGTTTTTTATTTATTTATATATTCATTTATTTTTCAGTTTCACTCCGACTGGAACATTGTTCAAAACTTGAAGCACTTTTGGTCGTTGAAGAAAAAAAGCCTAATGCATAATAAATGGCAAGTTGTGCATAGCCGCGGGAAGTAGATTGTGGGTGGGGCTGTGATTTTTTGCCGGGGTGGGGGGGGGGGGCAGAAAAACAGAATTGCCCGCGCTGAAGACATATATATATCGGTCTGCTAATAAAGGACTAGTAAAGGCCCAGTACACTACTTTTGTGAAAAAAATGTAACTAAGGCCTATTTGATGTTTACCAGCATTTGTAACTTAAGTCTGATAATTATATGTACAAAACAGTTCATCTGATAATACTTGTGGAATATAAAAATACTTGCTTGATATATGTTTGCAAATGCAACTTATTTCTATGTGAAAACTGAAATGGTCTATTCATTACTTTTCCATTTTAGTAGATGCTGTTTTCCAGGGCAACTTAAAGTAGTGTGTGCATACATTTTCATACTCTTTCGTACTGGTCCCCCGTGGGAATCGAACCCACAACCATAGCAATTGAGCCACATAATCACATCACGTCATCACAAACCACACCACAGGACGTCTCAATGTACTCAATTACTGTATTGTGCATTGTTTTTCTTCATAGTGATGGAAAGTCTACAGGCACAAAGACGACCAGCCGATGTACAATACAGTAATGTACATTTACATTAAGTGGTTTGTAAGGATGGTAAATTAATACTGCCCAGAAAGTGGTTGATTTCAATGTTATTTGATCAAGAAAAATATTTAATTTGATGTGGATGTTTTGTGGCTTTGCCCATAACTTTGCACCTTTTGATGTAAATGTTTGAGGACAGGGTTTTGTTCTTTCTGGATTCCATTAGAAGACAATCACAGAGAAAGGGACAGGGCAACAACTCTTACAATTCCAACTATTGAATCCTGCAAGATACTGCTCTTAATTATACAACTACTTTTTTGCCAAAGTGGAGATGCTGAAAAAAATGTTTGCCCGCACTACAGACGTCTATATTTTTTTATTATATATATTTTTAGCATTTTTTGTTTTTAATTCTGATTATTCAAGGTGTGCTGCAGCACCCTCAGCACCCCTACTTCCCGTGGCTATGAAGTTGTGTCAGCTTGAGGGGTGGGGGGAGGGGTCAATAATAATACTGAACAGCTTAGGCAGAAAGCATAATTAAGATTTTAATGATAGAAATATGTATGTCTGTCACAGTTTAACTGTATAACCCGTAGTAATAACTATGTAATAACCACCTAAATTATAGGCGGTTGTTCCACCTGAATTCCTATATGGCAACAACAACATGAACCATGCAGTGTTCACCCTGGGCCTTTGTTATGCCTTTAACAGAACTACGTGAATGACAATTTAGCCAGATAACAATATTAACACAATAGACTAACTATACTATCACCTCCCAGGTGGATACACTCGTTAGAATAACACCAATCATCTAGTTCATATAAATGCATCAACTAAGATTAAAGCAAAGTGAAGAATAATCTCATCAACTAATCAATCAACCAATTACTCAATCAATCCATACATCAAACAACTGAGATGTTAAAGAAGTCATTGCGTGAATATTTAGTTTGGTTGTAGGATGTAGGTGTTTGTTGTTGTTATTGGTGTGTACTGTTTGATATCAGTTGGTGAGTCAGTGTGCGTGACTGAGCTGGTATTCCGGCAGTCAGTCAATGTGAAGCCAGCACACACTGATGACTAGCACATGTAATCCGTGTATAGAGCAATTTCTGAGTGACAGTGAACATGTATGCACAACAGAGCAGCTTACACCTGTCATTCACACGGCACTGCAGTAGTCCTGCCCTCCAACTGTCCAACATGAAAGACCCATGTGGAGTGTGTGTGAGGACCTCTGCGTGTGTGTGTATATGAATGTGCTCACACGTGTGAATGTATAAGCATGTGTATGTAAAAGAAGATTGTGTGTGTGCATGTCTGTGTGCTTGCCTGCCTGTGTCCATGCGACCATGCATGCCCTTGAGTGTTTATACTAGGCATCCCCTATACTACCACATCCCCCCCTCCATCTCTCCAATGTGTTCTTTGGGTCGCCCTGCCTACCTCCTTCCGCAGCCTCAGCCCCAACCCCAGTCTCAGCCTCCAGCCCCGCAGCTCCATCCTCCCTCCAGCCTCCCAGCCCCAGCTCCATGTCTCCCTGTCAGGACGGGTAAACCTCCTGCCTGCTCCCACATGGAGCTCATTAGCAGGACGGGAGGGAAAAAATACAATTATTTCACCACAAATAAAGAGGCATTTTGGATTCCTCCCAACGAGACGCCTGGCAGGGTTCACAGGACCTGGAGCCGCTGTGTGTTTTCTTAAAGCCGCTCTGAAGGCAGATTTATGGTCAGTAGGTCTTCAGTAGCAGACTCCATCACTGCTGAGCTGTCACTTCAGGGCCAACTGGGGGATTGGGGATACAGACAGGCAGGCAGGGCTGAGGGCTCAGAGCCTGAGATGGAACCAACCACACATAACCTGGGCCCATGTTGATGGAGAGCCAAACCAAGAGCAGGTCTGGTGCTCTTGGAGAGCCAAACAGCTCATTAATGAATTGGTAGAGACTGTGGTTTAGGGCCCCTGTCCAGGGGCAGAACTTTTGTCTGCGCAGAATGTGAGTTTATCTGCATGTGTGTGTGTCTTCTAAACCGTCAAACTCCTCTCACCCAGAGTGTGTATAAGTCTACATCATCACTCACATTCTGTCTCCAAACCATCCACATCATCATCAGCCCACAAAGACTATGCTGCTGCTCCTGGCATAATAGCATGTTCAGAAAGGGGAGCCTACTGTATTTTCCATCCTTGCCTCTCGCTCTCTGTCTCTCTCTGTTTTATGGTCCATCTCTGAGTGAGGCCTGCAGTTAGCACTGCATCCTGGAATGTTGCATGGTGGAGCATGTCAGGTCACGGGGGCACTTTCTATTACTGCGCTACAAATGAGCCATTCAAATTAGGGGTGCAGCTCTGACTGATGTGCAATTAATTGCTGTCATTGTGACTTAAGGGAAGATCACACAAGATTAGTCCACAAAAAGAACCATGGGAAAGAAGTCGTCCACTCTCTGCCCATCAGCAAATCAACGATAAGGGCACAGACTAGCATCGTGGGAAATGAGTCAATCATGTATCCGCTGGACAGAGAGCACAGACCCCTTCTTCAGGAGAGATACGGCCGCTAGTCTGATGGCACTGCCTCTGCTTGTGTCCATTTGAGGAGGCATAATGAGGGCTTTGCAGAGTGAATGTCCTGGACACTGGGAGAGGGTGTGGTGGATATGATGAATAATTTAAGGAAGGGAATAAAAACCTGTCGCTATGTCCTTAATCTTCCAACAACGACTCTGGACGTGACATCCCAGTCCAGCGGTCCGCACAAGCAAAGCCAACGAGGAGACTGTATATACACTGCAGCCCGTCACTTCTCCCGACGCATAAATGGCTGTAGCAACACTGGCGGAATTCTTTCAGCCCAGAGTTTTCATATGCAAATCACGGTTTAGTTACGGTATGCAACACAGACCTTCCCATTTTCAGACTTTTGTTCATTATTCATTCTCCTGAAAAAGTAAAGGAGGCTGTGTGGCTTCTCTCTGCTACTAAGTACAGTTATTCAAATTCCCATTATGAGTCTGTCTCTCATTATACTACTCCTGAGCCCAATGGGGACTGCAACTGAAAAAAATATGAGTCTGACCAAGGATGAGCTGAAAAACAGAAGCACAGAACATGGAATTCCTTCCCCTCTAAAATATCTGCGGAACATTCTCAACACATATATTTAATATAGGCTACATTTATTTATTTTTAACGAATAACACTTTTTATCAATAAAATATATTAACAACTCAAATACATGTTATTATCTACAATAAGATAGTAGCTTGTCTAAGAACATCGCGAGAGACAAATTAATAAGTACGAATTAATATAAGAAACTATGTAAAAATCCAACAAAAAATTATGTTTACTACTTTTCATACATTTCAATAGCAGTAGGCTACTTTGTCCAGATTTTAAGAGGGAATTTTATGTAAGTTCCCCAAATGTGAGATGGTGTGTGGGGGAGGAATCAGAGCAGGATAGCGGTAGGCTACTTGCAGGTGCATGGGCTCGCTCATTGGTAAAAAAAGAAAACTATCCTATTCAGAAACTGACGCCCCAGACCAGTCTAACATTTTCCCAACATTTGTGGCATGTTCATCCGCAGCCCACTATATAAAAAAAAGGGCCAGTGAAGAGAATGTATGCCACGTACTATAGAAGGGGGCGAGAACGCATATTGATGAATTGCGTCTGGCGGGTTTAGAGGGTGCTCCGTCACCCCTGAGAGCATGGGAACTCCGTTATGCGCACAGACCCAGAGCCCCGAGTGCCCGGACACTGCCTTCCGCGTGTCCTTTTCAACTCCCTCAAAAGTTCATCCTTTTTACGCGACATTCATCGTGCCCTGTGAAATACAGCCAAACTAAGGGACGCAAATTAAAAGAGCATGCGAGCCCAGGCTTGATTGAAATGTGTTTTGAAACCCTTAACTTCCCGGAGTTGTAAACCACAAAACCCCTTCCCCTCTATCTGGCAGACGTTTCAAAGGCAAGCGTTCTTTATTCCGAGAGTCCCTCTCTGTTTTTATTTTTTATGGAATGGTCTCTCCAAAAAGCGCTCCACAAACCATTTAGACTTAATAGGCTACAAAAGCGCAAGCTTATTGCTTTAAAGAACAGTTCTTAATCGATGTGGTTTATCATAAATTCACTTCATGGAATATTTATATAAAGCCGTGATCATATGAGCCACGGATAGCCTAAATATAAACTATTTTGTGAATGAGCGTCTGTCTTACCTTTCAGATTTAGGGATGATAAAAAAAAGTTGGAAGGTTCTCTCAACCAGCGCAACACTTCTGAGACCACCACAATAAAAAAAAAAACGAAATCAAACAAAAACACAATAAAGTTGTCCTTTTCAGTGTCCAATAGATTCCTCGAGTCAGTTCTGGTGTGGTGGCAATCGGACTACAGCTGTGGTGCGTGTTGGCACTTCTGGAGGATTTAACCTTGTCTGGGTATCCTGAGTTATGGCAGCGCGTCCGTCCCCTGCACTGCGGCTGCTATTGAGACTGAACGGACTGAATTGTAAGACAAACTGATACGAACTTCTGTCTATGCGCTCTCCCTAGGAGCACTCCGAGAACCGGCCCACTCCTCCCCCTGGACAACACAGCCCCAACAAGTTAAAAAAAACAACCAGAGACCAGGCAGAACCAGCAACCGACCTATCACAGACACGGACTCAAACTGACATCACTTTATGAATGAAAAACCTATATTTCAAAAGCACTTTTAGGACTACTTTGAATTGCTTTAGCAATAAACAACCCACTTGGCAAAAACAGGTTGCATAAACGTCATTTCCACGTCATTAAAAATAATAATCGACGTGATGAGGTTGAATCGGTATGGAAAACTGATTGGATTTGAAAAAAGTCGTCAATGTAAGGAAATCTTGTATTTTTTCCAAACAACTTTTAACCTAAATCCAATGACATGGTGAAATGTTTTGTTGATTTCACGTTGAATTCAGGTTAGATGACAACTCAACCAAATGTAAAACTAGACGTTGAACTGAAGTCTGTGCCCAGTGGGAAGTATAGGCCTAGGCCTAATGAATATACAATTGATGACAATTAGGCATATACACGTTTTACATAGCCTTCATTATACATAGCTTTTAATATTTTCATTCAAAATATTACTTGTACAACTTTTTTCAATCGAAGGCAATATCGCTGCAATGTGAGCACTAAAGTTGAACTGATTCGAAATACTTTAAAGAGGTGTCTGTTGCGCAAAGCAAAACAATGCATAAATATCGTGTCTTCGCCTGTTATTTTAAGCGCGGGGATGCCGCTCATAGTTCTCGTTGTGAGCTGTTTACGTCGTGATGGGTAGCACCCTTTTCAAATTCACGCAAACCTCGGGGTTACATCAGATGTGTGTGGGCAATTTTTATGATGGGCTTAGATAGCTGGACCATTTAATTGCTTCATCTGTCGTGCGTAATTCATGTGTAAAATAGAGAGTGAGTTCTCCTGGTTGCTCTCGTTTGTCCGTAGTGTTTACCCGAAACCAGTTTCACTGGGTCCAATGTGTTTTTGTTGCTCAAAGTTATTCCGTTTAAAGGTGTGAAAACGCCGGCGGGACAGGGATGCTTTTGTTTGTTCCCGGGCCGTAACCCAGGGAAGTAAATATTTATCCAAGATAAGGGCCATTGACAAAATTCTGTCGCTGATGTGAATTGCACTGAATTTATGACGATGGGGAATGCTGAGCTATGCTGAGTAGCCCGATTAAAACGATGCCGTTATCCCTGCCCGAGAGGATATAGATAGGAGCTTCAGGTTACCGTTTTAAACAGTTGTTTCATTACCCCCAATCCCTTGACGCATGAGCAGGGACAAGTGTAGCAATGATGCATAGGCTATATAAAGGGATACATTATTAAGGAGCGCGAGGAACGCAAAGTTGGATAGGAGAGAACATGGCAATGTTATAACATTCTGTTTAAAAGGAGCACCTAACATTTCCAATTTGACCTCTAGCCTAATCATATAATTGAATACAGGGTAATTCAATATGTAGCCTGTTCTATTAGTATAAAAAATGTATGCACTCACTAACTGTAAGTCGCTCTGGATAAGAGTGTCTGCTAAATGACTAAAATGTAAATGTATTAGATATTTTTTCAGCCAATTAAAAATTCCAAATGCGTAATATACATTATGCCTAAGCATTAGCCTACACTTTAAGCATATTAATTCGCCTTTATGTTATCTTAATTTTAGCCAGTAACAAACATCCCCAAATTACAGTGAAGACCATTGAGTGAGAAGCCTTAGTCCAACAGCATCATCTAGCGTCAGTGTTCATTCTGGAGAAGTAAACCCGCTCACGCCAGCCTACACTGGTTAGCGCGCTGGCTGGTGAATTACCGAAGGACTTTCTATGACTACTCAGACTATGAATATCAATATTATTTCCAGGGAGAAGCAAAAAGAACACGAAGTTTATGAACTTGGATCTTGTTATGTCCACTGTAAATTAACAGTTCTCCAGCACAGGCCTGCCACCATCACAATGTGGTCTAGTCAGCTCATAGGGTTGAATGGGTTTGAGTCATTCGGACCAGGACCATGGTGCCACAGTGGTAGGTCCTGTCCACTCCTGGCTCCTCGCATGGTCTGGACTGTCTTGATCCTGTAGGGAAGGTTGTGTGAAGTTTTATATATTGTTTGGGAGCAACTAGATGTAGAGCTCCAGACCCCTATCTTTCTGACTTTATTTCTCTCTCTTACTCTTACACACACACACATACATACACACACATGGACACACACAAATACACGTACACACACAGCATCACCCAGGCAGACCTGTAAATCCTACAATAGGGTTGGTTGATGGCTCTGACGGTGATTAGACTGCTGTGCTGTGACTCTTGTCTTTCTGAGATTAAAATATATGCCAAATTCAATCTGCTCTCAGCTACACCCAGTGGCGATTTTAAGTGGGATGCATGCCAGCAAAGCCACGACACAACACAACACTAAACAATACATTAATTGCACTATAATGGTGACAAACGGTGCCCACAAACTGTTAGGGCCTACATAAAGCTGTCCCAACATCTTACCACTGCTACACCTGGCTATCAGAGGAGCCTTGTCTGGCAGCGAAACAGTTCATTCAGCCTCATTTACTGCCTTTAAAAAAACATAGCTGATATGGCTGACTTGCTTAAACAAATGTGGTTTCTAATGACAATTGAGATGTACAAACTATGGCATAAGGGGACGACAAGAGGATAAGAGGCAATCCGTAATTTCGATTAAGACATTAATGAGCGAGCTAGGACGGAAGTAATCAATATAACTATTTGTTTAGCACTTTTGAAATGTACAGCGACATAATTCAGAACATGGGCCATTCTTAGAGTGTTCTCCCTGTACACCAAGTCAGAACCGTAGGATAAATAAAGGGGCCATATAAGCAGACAATGAAAGCTGTTACAATATTTCATGATTACATTTCTCTTAAACAGGTTATAGGCTACATGTGCACCACCAAGTCAGAACAGTAGGCAAAAATAAAGAGGGGTAAATAGACCAAATTATTAGGGTGAGGCACATGGGCTACTAACATCTTACTACATAACAGACACTTAATATTACTTTCTTAGCTACAGTATATATATCTCCCTGGCATATTACATCATTTATGCAGCAGCATACAATACATTTTTGGACTCACCTTGTTGTGCTGTGCTCACTAGAACAGGAAGGTGGCGCGGCGGTCCTTCATGGTCAAATTCTGTCATCAAAGAAAGAGAAAGAGGCCGGATTTACAATTCCGAGTTGGATGACCGTTCAAAACGTATTTTCCCAGTCGGAGCTTGTTTATTCCCGACTTCCCAGTTGTCTTGAACTCACTGAAGTCAAGTTTTCGCAGTTCCGAGTTAACAGTTATTTTGAGCGCGGCACAAATCATGCTTCATTGACAGCATGGCCAATGTTTAATGTTTATCATTTTAAACTTGGAAAAAATTCCCTTAATCCCAGATTTGGGGCCACACAGCCACGCCACTGAATAGCAGGATAGTTATTGCTTTGCAATGCTTGCAGTTAGCCACTGTAACTGATTCCTTCCAAACCACTCATTGTTGAATTTGCGATTTCCAACTTGTTGTGTAATGTTTATGTCCAATGGCCGATGAGCACCGGTACATTTGATCTATAATTTCTCTTAATTATTTATCTTCATATGACAAGGATTAAAAATAATTTGCCAGTAGATTGTCGACTTGATTCAAGATGATGACTGCTAGCTAAGGTTTTGAAAGTATGATGTTAACATGATCAGTCCAATCAAAGCTACTATAACGTCATTTGACGTCACACAGAAAAAACTTTGGCTATTTATATGCCAAAGTACAGTATTTGAAACGTATCCACACTAGGGATAATTTACTACAGATGGGGGAAGGACTGGAGGGGGGTAATGAGGTGAAAAATGTTCATGGCATAATTCTCTCCACTGTAATTCAGCCCAATGGCAGGGCAGAGAGGTACATTACATGACCAAAAGAACCTGCTCGTCAAACATCTCATTCCAAAGTCATGGGCATTAATATGGAGTTGGTCCCCCCTTTGCTGCTATAACAGCCTCCACACTTCTGGGAAGGCTTTCCACTAGATGTTGGAACATTGCTGTGCAGACTTGATTCCATTCAGCCACAAGAGCATTAGTGAGGTCAGGCACTGATGTTGGGCAATTAGGCGTGGCTCGCAGTCGGCCTTCCAATTCATCCCGAAGGCGTTCGATGGGGTAGAGGTCAGGGACCTGTGCAGACCAGTCAAGTTCTTCCACACCGATCTCGACTAACCATTTCTGTATGGACCTCGCTTTGTGCACGGGGGCATTGTCATGCTGAAACAGGAAAGGGCCTTCCCCAAACTGTTGCCACAAAGTTCGAAGCACAGAATCGTCTAGAATGTCATTGTATGCTCCAGCGTTAAGATTCCGCTTCACTGGAGCTAAGGGGCCTAGCCCGAACCATGACAAACAGCCCCAGACCATTATTCCTCCTCCACCAAACTTTACAGTTGGCACTATGCATTGGGGCAGGTAGCATTCTCCTGGCATCCGCCAAACCCAGATTTGTCCGTCGGACGGCCAGATGGTGAGGCGTGATTCATCACTCCAGAGAATGCATTTCCACTGCTCCAGAGTCCTATGGCTACGAGCTTTACACCATTCCAGCCGACACTTGGCATTGCGCATGGTGATCTTAGGCTTGTGTGTGGCTGCTCGGCCATGGAAACCCATTTCATGAAGCTCCTGACGAACAGTTCTTGTGCTGACGTTGCTTCCAGAGGCAGTTTGGAACTCGGTGGTGAGTGTTGCAACCGAGGACAGACGATTTTTACGCGCAAGCTCTCCAGCACTCGGCAGTCCTGTTCTGTGAGCTTGTGTGGCCTACGACTTCACGGCTGAGCTGTTGTTGCTCCTAGACGTTTCCACTTCACAATAACAGCACTTACAGTCGACCGGGGTCGCTCTAGCAGGACAGAAATTGGACAAACTGACTTGTTGGAAAGGTGGCATCCTATGACGGTGCCATGTTGAAAGTCACTGAGCTCTTCAGTAAGGC